TCGGCATTTTCTTGAGTTACTTCCACAGTTCCAGTGTAGATGAATTCCAGGACATCTTCCATTACAGATTCCGAAATCTCCTCAAACCGAACGACCCCTTCCCGATTTTCCTTCATGTCGCTCTGAAGAAGCTTGCAAAAGAACGGACTCGCTGCGGAAAGAACATTTCTGTGAGCTTTTAATTCCTGGTCATCTTTCGTAATCAAAGTTATGTCGCATAATTGACCTTGTTTTCGTTGTATGTTGAGCCGTTTCATCATTTCCAGACAGAAAGGATTCTGTTCAGTGACAGCGATGGGTGGAAGGTCTTCCATTGTCAAAATATTAGCCTTGTTTTCGAGGTTTGTAAGCAGAGTTGGCTGTGATTATGCGTTGAAACACGAATACGGAATTAGTAGAACTTTATGGTACTTAGGCTGCCCCGGCTTAGTAAGGGGCGGCTACACTAGGGGACAGGCGCAGAGATCGATAGGGGAAAGTGGTACGGAAGATGGGAGAGGAAAGGACGGAACGCACACCATTTAACCGGGATTAGTAGTGACGAGAAAATGCTTGATACCAATACTCCTCAACCATCGATGTGGAGTGTTCAGAAATCAGTGGAGGGTTGCGGGTCAGTGTATGAGTAGTTTAAACTGGGGAGTACAGTTCTGCAGTAATGTGCTTTCCGCTGCAAGTCCGTTCTTTTGCAAGCTTCTTCAGAGCGATATGAAGGAGAATAAAGAGGGAATTGTTCGCTTTGAGTTATGGAAGATGTTCTTTAATTACTCTACACTGGAACTGTGGAAGTAACCGAGGAGAGTGCGGAAGAACTCGTCGCTGCAATAAATTATCTACTACTACCCAGCTTGAAAGTCATTTCCGGTCGAATCCTAAAGCAGAAGATGAACTACTCAAACTGTATTTAAACTTTTTACCTTGCTGAGAAATATCAATGCGACGAACTTTTAACCGGAAGCAATAATTTTATCCACGAAAGTTTTGTTTCTGTGGTATTAATGGATGAGTTTTTAAGCTTGGAGTCTGAAGAAGTCGAATGGTGGCTTTCAAGCGACGAGGTCATAGCGAAGGTGGAAGCTAATGTCTTTGAAATCATGTTGAAGTGCATTGAACACAACAAAAGGGAACGGAAAGCAAATTTGGAGGAATCGTTTCGTCACGTTCGGCTGGACTTCTTATCGCTTGACTTAATTGATGTCGTGACAAACGAACTTGTACAAGAAAACTTTGTTTGCTTAAAGATGGAGTTGAATGCATTAAAGAAGACCACTTTCTCAGTTGAAGGAGAACAACAGCAATCGTCGAGAAAAGGGGTCGAAACAAGCGCCATTGTAACCTGTGGAGGAAGATACACTCTTTGTTGTCTTCCTGAGTGACCAGTGGAAACGTTTAGCCGACAACCCGTCGTTTGGCATAAACAATGATTTTCACATTGTAAAATTCCACGGGCAGTTGTATGCATTTCCGAGTAGCTATGGCAATGCAGAGGGTTTTAATCCAGTTTTAAACGCTTGGTCCATGTTAGACATTTCTGCAAATTACTCCCCGGTTGTTGCCATTAAACGAGAAATCTACGCCGTCGAGGTTCAAACTTCTCCGGAACAAAAAATACAATGTGAAAAAATACAATGTCGAATCTTGTCTTTGGGAGACACTTCTCTCGTCTCTTGAAGGCTGTAGAAGGGAAGCTTGTGTTTTTGCAGCCGGCAGTCATCTCTACGTGCTCGGTGGGAGTCCTCCCTCTTCGTCACAAAACGTCGTGAAAGCTGAGAGATTTGACACTGTGGAAAACAAATGGGAGGAAATCGGTGATATGCGAGAAGAAAGAGGCAATGCTTTTGGAGTGGTCATGCATGAGAAAATCTTTGTCGCTGGTGGATCGCATAGAGAGAGACCATCAGTGTTGCAAACTCGTGAGGTGTATTATATGTCAACAAATGAGTGGCACCTGACCGATCCTTACCGGAAGCTTGATTGTTTCTCGTAAGGGCGGAAGTAATATGGTTTGTCTCAATGAAAAATTGTTTGTGTTGGGTGGAAAGAATGACCGTAACGAGGCCGAACAGATGATTGAATGTTTTCATCCTGTGGAGGGCAAATGGATTCAGAAGACAATCATACCAGCGGAAAGGATTTATAGAGGGAATAAAGATACATTTACTGGCTGCGCACTGAAGCTTTCCAAGGGAGTGCTGGACAAACTTAAAGTTATCGGAGAGTAGTCTCTCAGACTCTTAATTTGCGGCAAAGATGTCAGTAGGCTGCGATAAGAAATGGCACATTAGGCTATTTTGACTGTAGTATTTGTTGCACAAAGTAATGGGCACAAAGTCAATATAAAACCGCCATGCAAGATGTATTCTACTCTCGTCAACGTAATTAGAAGGTCGCGGATCTAGTTACCAGTACCACATTGACAACATCACAGTATGAAACTGTTAGGCTTAGCTCGCTACCCTCAACATTGGTTGCTAACCTGAAGATGACACTATCAACCTTCTATTGCACAAGTGTTAGATAAGAGGTGAATCTTTTGAATACACTAATTATGTGAGCAACCCATAATTATACCAATTTATTTGTTATGCTAAGTCCTTGATTTCTACCAAGTTTCACCGGAATTGATTAAATATCTCGAAAATTAGGCCAAAACAGTTTTCTCTAATTTGCAGTTAAGTACCATCTTGATTAAGCTCTATAAAAGTTCACTATGAGAAAAGGGAAATAGCCAATTCTAGACGAACAATCCCGGCAGCCCCTGCGCTTATGGGTGGAATTTTACCCATCATTTCCGCTAGTTTCGGACATATATTGCGTTACTTTCTATTCTTTCCGATCCAAATCTTTCTCTATAAAACTCACCCAAGAGACTAGGTAAATAGCAACCTCTAGATGAAAAAGCCGTAATTTTTTAAAAAAAGTTTCGTCCTCCTAAACGGATCTTGGATAGATATTCTAGTCTTCTCGGATAAGGACGAATAAACCGTAGGTCCCGTCTCCTACAGGGTTAGGGGTAGGAGACGTTAATTTCCCACGCACGAGATTACTGTGTGGTGGATGTCCTCCCCT